TACACACACACACACACACACACACACTCCCAAACACTCTCTCACACACACACACACACACACAAAAACTCCTTAAAAGGACAATTATATTAGTGCATATGATGCATATTTCAGGTCTTCTGAAGTCATATGATAGATTTGTGTGTTGAACAGACTGAAAAATAAGTTTAAAGGCTCTTGAGTTTAAATTAATTTCATTATTGACTATTTTGAGGATGATTTTATGGTGTATTTGTTTTGAAATGATCACTATGAACTGTTGTTGCGTGGAAAAGAGCAAGGGTTGGTAACTTTGATTTTTCTGGATGAACTATTCCTGTAATATTGAGAGTGTTGTGTTCGATCTGAATGTTATATGGCAGAAATAGAGAGAGAGACAAATAGAGAGAGAGAGGTAAAGCATTAATGTGATCAGTCATTACAGTCCCCTTTGCCTCTGCACTCTCTTAAAGGTCCCGCTTAACATCTGAAGCAGCTTTAGAAATGCCAGTGTAAGTGTTAATGAGCCTAAAGGGACAATCTGTATCCGTCTGCAGGGAACGTCTGGTCAGGAGCTTCAGCTTGCTTCCCTGCTGGATAAAAAAATAAACCTAAGGATGTTAGCTGGTATTTTATTTTATTTTATTTTATTTTATATTTTGTTTTGTTTTGTTTTTTGTTTTGCTATTTTATTTTATAAAATAATTCAAATAAAATACAATTATTTTATTTTATTAAAATATTTGTTTTAATATGCAAATATTTAATTTTTAATATAAAAATATTGATAAAATAAACATTTATTCATTTAAAAGAGACATATTATGCCCCTTCAGGGCTCGCAAAATTTCAAAATCGCTGGTAGCAGACATTCTTCAGATTTTGGTAGCCCAAAATGAATTTAAGTAGCCCGTAGACATCGGCTGAACTTCACTGCGGACAAATCAGCATGATTAAAAACTGGTAGCATATAGGGATGTAACGATTCACTCAACTCCCGATGCGATTCACGATACTGATTTCACAATACAATTTTCTCACAATTTTTCTTTTTAACAAAATGAGATTTCAGTCAAATTATAAACGAAAAGGTGTCCTTTTATTATTTCTCCAACAAAATTCTGCACATTTCTTTGTGAAATTGAAATATGTCAAATAATAAAACTAAC